ATCATACACTCTACTTTACGAACGGCAATAAAAAAATTAGTTTAGTAGGCATTCTTGACCATGTCACTTCGTAGGGTCACAGGCTAGGGTGGATATGATTCGAATTTCGATAAAATTTCAATTAATTTATTTATTTTATTCACTTTTTTTGGTTTTTTTGTAAAATATCAGTGCCATAGGCTTCTACTACGTTTATATGATTAAAATGTAAAAATTTTGTTACATAAAAAAAGGTCATTCAGTATCACTGTTTTGTTAACTTCCTTCCGCGAGGATTGCCGGCAGCGACTGCCAAAAGAAATCGGGCCGATGCGCCTACACACACGCAGTAAGGAGGGGGCAGTGCCCCGATCTAGGAAGCATCGGCTGATCTAGGAAGCATTTTTGCTCCTGCCAGCCGATTAAGGAGGCGATATCGGCCACGACTTAGGATGGCCCTACATACGACACGATTTAGAGGCAATCTAGGAGGCATCCCCACTACTACACCCTAGATCACCACCGATATCGTGTCGTATGTAGCCCGCTTTAAAGGTGTACTTCGGTGAATGCTTCTATTACTTATGCTTCATTTCTTGTTCATCTTGTTTTTGTAAAGTAAATATTGTATAACTTTCATAACTCATATTGTTTTAGATGCCGAAACCTAAGACGTTTGGCAAAATCTCTCGTAAAGGTGTTCGTGTTCTTAGAAATAATTTAGAAATTGGAAGACGGTTAGTATACAATAGGGCGGTAGAGACAGCGACGCGCAACTTGTTACCATGGATTCAGTACAAGGTACATCTGAATCTCCTGCGACTGCGATTAAATATTTCGTGAGTTATTAAAAAAATCTTATACAGACGTTTTGACTGCGAAGGTATTGTCATTTTCTAAACCATAACGTGATCAGTTCTTTTGATTACCGACAAAAAATGTCTACGCTAAGTGGTATAGAATCATGTGCTGAATTCATGGTAATAGTTTGTGCGTCGATGTCCCTGTCACCCTGTATATTTGTTGAAACGTCACATTCTTAATTGGGAACATAACCGTCATAAGTTATTTTTCTACAGATTTCTTAAAGGCAGTCGCAATACTCATGATACATCTGAGGTGTATCCAGAAGGATGTAATCTAATGGGTAGTCGTACTTCCAATGAAAACAATCTGGAAACAACTGACGTAAGTTATAATTTAACAGTACAGTACATATACATACTGTTGTGTTATGATTATTTGGTTACTTTATTTTTCACAAAAAATAACAAGTATAGCAATGTTTGTTTTGTTTTTAGAACCCCATATATGAAGAAATAGAACCGTTTCAGGTTTCAGGCAGAAGGATCATAGAAATAGATTATTTTATGAAACAACTTTGTGAAATTGGGAGCCATAGTTCGATGTTCAATTGTAATTTGAGTACTATCGAAATCATAAATGAAAAAAGGATTGGACTTAACTCTACTTTTCATATGAAGTGTCAAATGTGTGGTGCTAAGTTCATTTTAAAATCTTCCAACGATTCGGAAAATAAAATGGATGTGAACGAGGAAGTCGTGGCCGGTATAATGACTATTGGTGCTGGGGTTACGCAGCTAAATACTGTGCTGTGTCATGTAAATATGCCACCAATGTCGATACGATTGTACCAATCTAAACACGACATAATTTGTCAGTGGTGGAAAAAAACTGCGCAGCACTATATGATCGAGGCTGGTAAGGAAGAAAAAGATCATGCTTTATCTATTGGGAGCACAAATGATGATGGCATAGCGATGATAACTGTATCAGGTGATGCATGTTGGTCCAAGCGTTCGTATGGAAATAATTATAGTGCCTCTTCTGGAGTTGGTGCAATTGTAGGAATGTATTCAAAGAAAATCTTATATTACGGAGTGAAAAATAAGATTTGTAATATCTGTTCACGAGCACAAACAAAAGGAACTCACCCACCGAAACATACTTGTTTCAAAAATTTTCAAGGTCCTTCTACTGCAATGGAAGCAGTAATAATAACGGAGGGCTTTAAAAAGTCCGTAGAAATGCATGGACTTATTTACAACCATTACGTTGCAGATGGTGATTCAAGCACATATGCTAGTATTCGAAATTCAAGGTCATATGTTAACGTAACAGTGGGTAAAATTGAATGCAAAAATCATTTATTACGAAATTATTGCAAGGGCCTTCTTTCCATTTCTAATAATAGCACATGCCACATAAGGGGCAGAAAAATCCTAAAAGAAAATTATTTACGGATACGTTGGGGCATTGAGAGCAGTGTCAAATATTGGACGAGAAAGGACATTACTTTCGAAGAAAAAGTAAAACATATTAAAAATGATATTTTGAATGGTCCCTACCACATATTTGGTGATCACACAAAAAAAAAACAAAAATCAGACCTAAAATGTCTAAACAAGATGCATATTATGGTGAAAATTGCCAAAAAGTTGACATGAATGAGGAAGAATATAAGGAGGCCAAATTAAAATTTTTGAAGGCGTTAGAACTTTCGGAGGGCGAAAAGGAAAAATTAGAAAAAGACACCATATTACAGAGCGGAAGTCCGTTATGGTTAGAAACGCGGAGAAAGCTCCTGACAGCGTCTTGGTTCGCGATAGTCTGCAAACGTCGCTCGACAACTGAATGTGGTCCACTCATAAAACAAATTCTCTATGGAAAAGATCTTAGCAATGTGCCGTCCATAAAGCATGGCAGAAGTAATGAAGAGACTGCGATTCGAGAACTCGAAAAGGTTTTGAATACCCATATAGAACAGTGCGGGTTATTCATAGACCAAGAATTTCCCTTTCTAGGAGCAACTCCAGATGGAAAATGTGAGCTTGGCATAATTGAGGTCAAATGTCCATCTTCGGCATATCAGATGGAACCAGAAGACGCCATTAAACTTAAAAAAGTTGATTTTTGGTTGCCTACAGCAGGTGACACATTCAAGATTAACAAAAAACATAAATGGTATTACCAAATTCAAGGGCAACTGCGCATTACTAGGCAAGATATTTGTGTGTTTGCTATTTGGACAGGCCCTGGCAAAATCAAGTACCAGAGTGTAGAAAAAGATCCACAATTCTGGAAGGAGAAAATGGAACTTCCTTTAATTCGGTTTTACAAAAATTGTCTCCTCCCAGAATTAATTGACCCACGACAGACTAGGAATATGGAGCTAAGAGCACATTCTTTACATATTGAAAAAAATATTTTAAAAATAAATAATTGATGCCTTTTCGTTTATTGTTTTAATAATCATCGAAATATATATGAGTCTGGGGGTAAGGTCTTATCATAACTAACAAATCGAAACCAAACTCGGCACACCTAGTTCTACTAGTCTAGCAGTTCCGGTTGTAACCACCGAATTACACCTTCAGGTCACTCCATCATGTCCGGAGGTAAGGACTCATCATAACTAACAAAACGAACCCAAACTCGGCACACCTAGTTCTACTAGTCTAGCAGTTCCAGTTGTAACTACCGAATTACACCTTCAGGTCACTACATCGAGTCTGGTGGTAAGGTCTCATCGTAACTAAAAAAACGAACCCAAACTCGGCACACCTAGTTCTACTAGTCTAGCAGTTCCAGTTGTAACCACCAAATTACACCTTCAGGTCACTCCATCGAGTCTGGTGGTAAGATCTCATCGTAACTAACAAAACGAACCCAAACTCGGCACACCTAGTTTTACTAGTCTAGCAGTTCCAGTTGTAATGACCAAATAACAACTTCAGGTCACTCCATCAAATCTGGTGGTAAGGTCTCATCATAACTAACAAAACGAACCAAAACTCGGCACACCTAGTTCTACTAGTCCAGAAGTTCCAGTTGTAATCACGCAATTACACCTTTAGGTCACTCCATCAAGTCCGGAGGTAAGGTCTTATCATAACTGACAAAGCTAGCCCAAAGACTACAGCTAACATCTCACTGCCAGTAGAGGGCTTCCAGTGCCAAGCGGTCTCTGGAGTAGGTATTCGTATTTCATATTTATAAGTATATTTCTGAGGTATAAGAAATGAAAAAACAAATTCAATCTTTCAATTTATAAAAATAATTTTATTTGATTACGACACAGAATAAATAATAGTCTACGATTGCCTCAGCTAACCGTGCGTACACTTGTGTGCGTGACCCATGTCAATGTAATAGTTCGATTCTATACCTATCAATTTTGTAAACGCGTCCTTAAGCGTTTCTTTTAAGCTTTAAATACAAATTCTTTATTTACCGAGTTGACCGAAAATATTACACCATGATGTCTTAGGATACATACAGGTACAACAAGTCCGTAACAGGGTGTTGAAAGGGATTCTTTGTTGAAAATCTTCGAAAGTTTGCAAAGAGCAAATGAGCTTTTATTAACTTTTTACAGACATTATCTAGATGTGTTTTCCATGATAGGTCTTCGTCAATATAAATTCCTAGAAATTTTGTACTTGTCACAGGATGTACAATCATGCTTTGGTAACTAACATTTATTGTTTTGGGTTGTGTTCTGTGGTAAAAGTGTACTATTTTTGTTTTGTCCATATTCATTTTAAGATTGTTTTTTACTAACCACTGAATTATTATATTTAATGTTTTATAACATTATATTGTTAAATATAATAATTCAAGATGTAGCCAATCTTATCTGTGACACCTCTGACATATGTGTCGGTCATTGTAATAGTGATGTAACTCCATAATATTAAAAAAAATTTATTTTCCCATAGTGGGCTTACAATGTATCATATCTTTCAATATAAAAATGAAGCAACTCCACTGATACCACTAAAGTAACGTAGATGTCGCTATTTTGTTTAGTCTGGGAACAGATTTGTACTGTTATTCACTATAAAAGTGAAGTATGTCCCAAGTCACTTTTATAATGAAGTAAGTCCGGAGTTGATTCACTTTTATTGCGACCGATTGTTGTCATCCGTTGTACGTGTTGTGATAATTATTAAAAAAGGATTTTCAAAGTCGGTGTTTTTGTGGGGTTTTAATAAAATATGTCTAATACAGAAGATTTTAGTGATTCTGGTTCTGAATATCAGCCTATTCCTGGAGAAATTCATACAGAATCTGGTAAGTTATATTTTTATTAGTTGTTTTTCTAACCTAAAAATATTGTGATAACTTTCAAGTTTATAGACAAGAAAATACGATATCTAAGAATATATTTTCTATTTAGTTATGTCCTAGAAATCACTATTATTTTATTGGTTTCGTTTTTATACTTGTTTCAGAAACAGATACAAGTTGTGACGAAAATATTATGATGCCGTCTAGTCTATCAGAACCTGGAACATCTAAATCTAGAAAAAGGTCAATCAACAAGGAAAATTGGACAGTTAATAAAAGAAAGTTATTGCGTAATAGTGGAAAAGGTTATGTAACTAAAATGGGAGTGGAGAAAAATACCAAAATCTTCGAAAATATTGACTGTGGATGTCCTAAAAAATGTTATACGCTTTTTACAGAAAATGAAAGGCAAGAAATGTTCGAATCATTTTGGAATTTAAAGGACTTTAATCAGCAAAATGCCTTTCTATATGCATTAGTGCAAAAAGCATCTGTTAATAGAAAACGACCTAAAGATCTGTCACGAGCAGGAAAAAACGTTTCGTTTAAGTATTTTCTCAAATCTCATATTATGACACAACTGGTATGTAAAAAATATTTTTTGAAAACATTCCAAATCAGTGATGGAAGATTATATCGCTGTCTATCAAAAGGCGATGTCTCGCAATGTAAAGATAAACGAGGCACGACTAATACTCGAAAATTAGATGATTCTGACATTATTACTCATATACAAAGCTTTCCCGCGTACCAAAGCCATTACACAAGAAAAAGTAATCCTAACCGGAAGTTTTTAAATCCTGGGCTAACTATTCGAAAGATGTACGATCTATATAAAGAAAAATGTTTGACTGAAATGACAGAACCTAAAAAATTAAAATATTATAATAAATTTTTCAACACCAAGTTTAATCTACATTTCAAGGTACCGCACCAGGATACATGTAAGACTTGCGATAGCTCGAATTTTAAAATTAGAGGCACCGATGACGAGAACGTGAAGAAAGAGTTTGAAGTTCAAAAGGAACTTCATCAAAGAAAGGCAGATTCGGCAAGAGAAAATCTACAAATTGATGCTAAAAAGATTAATGACGCATATGTACTAACCTTTGATTTGCAGAAAGCTTTAGCTTTCCCAAAATTAACTACTTCGGTAGCATACTATAAAAGGAATCTGTATTTGTATAATTTGGGAATACATTGTTTTAATAACAACACGGGGTACATGAACGTCTGGAATGAGATAGAAGGAGGGCGAGGGTCGGCATTAGAAAAATGTATTACCAACAGAAAAAAAACAACCTGTGGTTACGACTTCAACTGGCTGAATATTAGATGGCTGAGGTTTGAGAGGAATCATCCTTTACAATTTCAATTTAAAGAAACGCTCAACGCTGACATGCCCTTCTACAAAGTAGATCTATCAAAAAAGCAACAAGGACGACCAGCTTACTTGTACAATATTCAACAAGGCCCACTCTATCCTTCAGGAAGACCAGTCACTATTGCTAAGAAGAAGGATATGCTTGATCTTCTCCCATACATTCCACCAATTTACCATAAATTTTACAAAAATCTTACTGTAGACATTCCAACACGGTCAAGCATTCTTAATGCTGATGAACGTTCGTCTGATGACGAAATAACCTACGATTAACCACTTAACGAAATCACAATAAGTATAACTCTTCACTTTAACAGTGAAGTAAGTCCACAAAAAAAATTATAATTTGTTTCATTAAAATAACTTCGTCTTATTTTTAAGTAACTATATACTATTATAATATTTCATTTGTTAACTACAATAAAAAATATAAAGCATTGAATAAAAATTTGTAGTTTTTTTTCTACGCGTTAATTAACAAAACTCTTAATTTCTCAAAACTTCATTGCATGGAGATAATTCACTATTACAATGAACGACACATATGGTAGTACAGCAGGCACACGCTCGACTGTGGCCGGCTTCACTCGGTCACTGTGACGTAGGCGCGGGACCCGAAGCTTGTTGTCGTGCAGAACCTGCTTGCCGTGCTGAAGCTTGGCGGCCAGGTGTTTGCTGTCAGAGATCCCTCGTGCTCTCTGTAACAAAGATTTGCCCACGGTAGCTAAATGTGAGGAGGACCGATATTTAAATGGTGAATCTCACCATCATCCTTCACAGTTAGCTACCGTGGGCAAGCGCTTGAAGCGAGCTTCTATTAGAACATTCTACAAGCCGCCGAAGAAGATTAGTCAGTTCTTACTATCCGTCAAGTGTCATATTCCTCTACAAGATGCAGGAGTGTACAAGCTTGATTGTGATTGTGATCTCTCATATATAGGGCAAACAAAGAGATCATTTAGAATCTGCGTAAAAGAACACATAGCTGACGTGAAGCATCAACGTTCCGGGAAGTCTGCAGCTTGTGATCATATCCTAGATGGCCCCAACCATTACATCAGATTTGATAGACAAATCCTCACGAAAGAACATCGATTCATACCAAGGATGATACGTGAGGCTATTGAAATTAAAAAAAAAAACATCCTAATATCAATAGAGAAGGAGGCTGGGTACTACTACCTGCTTGGGACCCTATAATTAATAAAATTAAAACTAAACCCAAGCATACAACTGCAAGACTTCAAAACACAGTTAGTTCATTCTGCGTAGATCGGACCAAAGACAATAAATAAAAAAGCTGATGGTACTTCGGGTTAACTTTGACATCGGGGCGTCAGTCACCTCAGTCCCCCGTGACCATGGGTGCTGGAAAGCACCCGAAACGTCGGGTATTAAAAATAGAATAAATAAAACGCGATAAAATCCGTAAAAGTAGTTTTAATCAAAATAACTTGAGGTTTATATCAACGTGGACAAACTTGTTTCGTCGTTTTCTCTAATAGTTCACATGCGCAGACCCTGAACCCCTCAAGCCCCTTAAAAATCACGTGCAGTCGCATGCGCCCAGCAAATCCCGAGCGCTCGCAAGCGACCGCACCCACTCACAGCACTTAAAACCATTAAAACCTATACTTAAAGATGATTTTTCTGTGAAGAAGTTTAGCGGTATAAAATCTATACGAAATTCTCTATCTTGTGATCTAAATAAAAGTCAGCTATTACTTCAGTACAAAAAGATTTTATTGTATTTTGATAACAAAAAAAATATACCAAGCGAATGTCGGCAGCGTGAAAATCACAATTATTTCTATATATTACTCGAAATTATTTACGTAAATAGATAAATTATATACACACAAAAACTTTCATTACAATTTTATAATTAAACACTATACTAAAACACTAGAAAAATCCGAAAATCGACACAATAACATTCACGCGAAAATGGCGTACTAAATAAACGTGGATTATAAATAAATATTCATAAGAAAACAGTTTTTTTATTGTACTAGAGGATAGAGTATTTTATATTGACTATATAATGCCACACTTCTTCATAGAAAAGTAGTCTCTATATTATACAAGTTTTTATAGGTTAAAGTGCTGTGGGTGTGCTGTGGTGGGTGCGACCTCATGAGACCGATAGGTATTTGACGGAATATGGCCGCGGGCTTATGCGACCGCTCGGGGGCTGAGGGGTTAATACACAAAATTGCATCACTTTTAAGATCAAAATCCACTTTTAACCATTATTTAAAGATAAAACAGAACTAACAATCCATCAACGACCAAAGTTACTACCAAAATCCTACTGTCGTTTATTTAGAGGTTATGACACAGATTAAACAGTCATAAAAAAGTTGCTCCAGAAGATAGCAGATGGCGTTAGGTGTTATTGATTAATAACTGATTGGATATTCTGATACATATTTTAACAAAAATAACCACTATTGTACAAAAAAAAAACGACATAACTCATTCCTTGAGTGCCGACTGGTCATCCAAAATCAATCACAGAATCATGATGTTTGCTATCCTTTTCTATATTGGCATAAGGAATTTTTCTCCCTTGTACATTATGGTTTTCTATTACTATCATAAGTTTATGGGACTTACAGTATGTAATAATAAATTATTAGAATTTTACAATTTTTATAGCGTCGCGTCTATCCATAAACTTTACAGCTCAAAACTTCTTGTGCCTTGATAGAATCAGGCGTTACTTTGCGGAAATCCATTATAATAAAAACATTAATATTTTCATTCTTGTGCCTTGATTTTAATGAGTAGTTTTTTTATATTTCTTTTAAAAACTTTATCCCCAAACAAGGGTTTTATTATGTATCGTAGAGGTTTTTTTTATAGAATGAGGGTGACAAATGAGCACACAGTTCATCTGATGCTAAATGAATGCTGAGTCCTGTAGACATTTATTTTACCTGAATGTATCCCTATATTAAGAATCAAAACGCAGATGCATTGTCGGTCCTGAGGATTGAGGTGGAATGACTCGTTTCCAGGAAAACATATAATTATTTGTAGTCTACTATACAAAGTAACTTCTTATTCTGTGTGTGATTCGAACCTGCGGTATTCAGCGCCGCAACTCAGTTACAAGTTACTGCAGCACGCAGTCGCCATCATCTTAAAGACTTATCATATTTAATAATTTTAAAGACGGTAAAACTTTGGTTGAGACTCGTCCAAAATTTCACAAGGTTTTTTGTTATTTTATTTTATCTGTGAAACTTTTTAAATCTTTTTCCAAGCCACCTATTTGCAACAACAACATTATCTGAGGTATTTTAAGTAATTTCAAAAATTAGCACTTAAGTTTGTGTTAATTATCTAATTAAAACAAAAATGTTGCTTACGGTCTCATACCATTTTTATTCTAGAAAGATTTTCTACGAGTAGGTACTACTTGTTACAACAGGAATAGTAAAAGGATATATATATATATATATATATATATAGAATGTATTATTATATATTATCTTAATATATATAAATTACGTGTCGCGTTGTTTGTCCGCGATGGACTCCTAAACTACTTAACCGATTTTAATCAAATTTGCACATCGTGTCCAGTTTGGTCCAAGTTGAGAGATACGATAGTTTTTTTTCCCATTAGTGACCCACATTTTTTTTTAATAGGACATGACAGGGTCGTCGAAAAGGGCAGAACAACGTCTGCCTGGCAAGCTAGTATATATATATATATATATATATATATATATATTATTACGATATTGATTGCATTTATATTCAATGGGAATTATTTTGTTTGGAAGCAATTTCCCTTCTACTCCCCATTTCGTTAAATCCACAATCCGACTCAAGATCCTCGAGAACCTTTTTTTCTCCATCGGTTGTTGGTTCTTTGAGCTATATGGCCGGTCCATTGGCACGGCTTAGTAATTCGTTGAGCTACGAGTATGTCGGTTACTCCGGTTCTACTGCAGATATCCTCATTTTTACGGCAAAACTAATGTCCATATTTGAGAGGAACAAGATGTACTTTTGCAAGTTTTGCGATTGATCAGATTTTAATTAAAATTTAATCAAGGGTAGAACTCCGCCGCGACATTATAACATATTTTAATTAAAATTCAATGTAAAACGCACCGTTCAAATATTTTAACGTTATGTTAGCAAATTAACGTTTAACCGCACAACAATAGAACTAAATAGTAAAACTATTTAGTTCTATTGAAGTTGAATTAAAAAATCTTGATTTAAATATGATTAAAAAAGAAATGATGAACTTTAAAGAATTTTCATTATTATAGGTATTTTATCTTACATAAAAGCTCCTACTTTCTCGGTTTGCTTTCGTAATACTTGCATCCACACACAAAATCGTTTAATATGGAAAGATGTTTGATGTGTTACTAAATTGAAACAATGATAAATATTTTTTCGGAATTTATTTTTTATTTTATAGCATTAGATTAATCACCATGCTTGCAGGCGTATGGCGACCGTATTGCGTTAGAGATACCACTGTATGTCTGAAGCCATGAAATAATTTTTATTTCCCATATTTCATCTTACTATACTCATAAAATGGAAAGAGAGCATGGTTACTTTCACGCCATCACCAAATGACCACAAAACTGAATGCTTATTTGTGCTTTCCTCTTGCTACACTTTATATAAGCATAAAGCCATGTGGAAAGGTCGCCATTATACATCACTATATATTTTACGCCATTATATATCTACCGTTCATTTATTGTCAAGTTATGTTCCAATTCATTGTCGCAAAGGTTGTATAGGCGAAGATATAACGTCCTCTTGTGATAACGTGCAGTTGGCGATTTCACGTTGCGCAGTCAACAAGGGAACGCCGTAACGGCATACGACAAATATCATTACCAATATTTTCTCTACCATCATCAGTAATAATTGCATTTTTATAACTATGATATTACGAATCAGATTACGAAACCTATTTTAGAAATAAAATAATCTAAATTGAAATTACATAATATACCTAAAACAACTGTTTAAAGGCGATGTAAGAACTTCTACTATCCGATATCGTCCCGTGGGTGTCATTAGATGCGACAGATGGAAAATGAAATGAAAGATGGGCAGCAGCATTTTCGTGATAACCACCAAAAAAAATAAAGCCATTGCAGTTGCCGACCCGCATGCCATGTGTGTAGCAACTGTGGTAAAATGTTCCGTATGATATCCCAATATCCTAATAATGCAATATATGGCAGATGCTTATGTTCAGAGGTGGACTTTTATAGACTGTA